TTTTTTCTAGCATTTAAATTCAGAATTTTAATTACAAAACAAACTCATCTCGTTTGAGTTAAACAGAATAATTGTTTTTGTAATATTTAAAAAAATAACCCTGCATTTGAATTGCTACATTCTGAAAAACTATGATGTTTTGAAACTAAACTAAGGGGACAAAAAAGTAGTTTGTAAAGCTCAGCTTACTGCGCATGCCCAGTGCCCATGCCTGAAAACAAGGACTTCTTCAACAAACATAGTCTGTCTGCATGTAAATAAAAACTCCGGAATTAAACTCACATTTCATCTTTGCAAGTTGTATTTGGGCAATAAGTTTACAAATACAAATTGACCACAGATGAGACAAATGACGAAGTTATGCCTGCGATGCTATCAGTGGCTAACTACTAGCTATTATGTCACTGACCTTAACCGCAAATTAAAGAAAGTTGAGCTAATTTATGTCAAGTTACAAACACACCTATTAATATTTTCATGATGCAAAATCGCAGTCCACTCCTGAGTCGAACAGCCGGACGTCGACCTCTTTACTATCCTTGTCAGAGTCGCAGCTTCGGGGTTGTCAGTGAGACGCTTTAAGCATTTTTGGATCCGCACGGCTTCCGTAAATCCGCGCATAAGTTCAAAAGTCATTTTCTTGTGTGTGTTTTTTTTTGGCCTATTCTATTTTTCTGCAAAGTTTATTATTTATGTATGCGTAACTGTAAAGCATTGTCTGTTTATTTACTGGCGATAATTTGTATATAAAAATGGTATTTTAGCCGAGAGTAACATATTTTTTGTTTCTTCAATAAATAAGAAAAGCTGAAATAGTCCGTAGAAATATGTCGTTAAATGGGGAGATGCAAATACACCACAATGTAGTAACAACACAAATAGCTGTGCTATTAGAAAAAGAATAAAACAATAACATTTAAATTTCAACCTATGGCCCCTCTATATATATATTTTTTTCTAAGACATGGGAACAACCGGAAGTCGTCAGGTTCCTGTCCAATGACGAAGCTCAGGAAGGCGTCACGTGGTACGAGATAAAGAGATAAATTGCTCAGCGACCTCATTAACGTTCTTTCTTCCTTGTTGCGGTGAACGCGTGCGGTCGGGTGAGGACGACAGAAACACGAAGGCCTGCTGAAACCACAAACATATTTGGTATGTATTTACGGTTTTCATGTTTGTGTCAGGTTACAATGTTGATCGATCAAACGTGATGCTTTTCACTGCTTTGTTTGTTGTGGTTTAATTCCGCGCCACTTCCTAGTTCATATCGACCTCGTGGTCCTAAAGTAAACCGACAACGAACGACCAATAAAATGTGTTTTTGAGGTTGATTTTGAGACAATAACCAGGTGTGTCCAGAAAATGTTTTAATACATAGTATAATTAAAATAATGAATATTTCCCTTAAAATAACTTGCATAGAGAGGGATATTTGAACGTGACACACTTCAGATAACAATTTTGGTAAATATCAGTAGTTTTTATTTAATAGATTTATATAATAGATAGATTTAGTAGATTTATTTAATATCTATGAAATGTATTGCCTCTCCTGACCACGTGGATCATGTGTTCAAAATGTCAACGTTTATCATGTCACATTTCGAAAGTCAAACCTTGATGATGAATTGCATGTGAGTCCGTGTTTCAGCTGAACCTCATGATTATTCTTTCACTGCACTGATGGGTTTGACAGAGTATATTGATGGCACGTTTTCTTACTGCGGTATAAAACTAACATGGTTTCGCGTTTGTTTTTTTCTATTCCATCCAGAGCTCGAAGTGACTGCACCAAACATCTTTTTCTATCAAGGTTATCCCCATTACAATGACTACATCTTAACTTTATTAAAGGTACTGTGACTACTCGACAACCTGGTATTGTTTGGTAAAGAGATAAAAACATAGTAGAGTTGAATGTATTTAATGACTTGTTGGAAATAAAAAGAAAATCTCTCTGAAACCTGACTCCCTGTTTAATTTAATAAAGACATTATTGTTTGAGTTACGAGATAGTTATGTTTAACGATGCCGACGAACTAACTGCAAAGCCCACAGGAATGGCGGCTCCCGCCCTCTTGTGGTATAAGATGACACTACAGGGCCAGGTAGGGAACTGGATACTCAATATTCGCGCACAGAACATGCAGTGTAGTGTTGTAAAGCGTTTCTTCTAGTCACAATTGTCTCTTGGTGGAAGTGGGATGACTTAATTCCCATTGAAGTTTTCACGAGTGCAAACGCTGCCGCCTTGCGGCCACAGATGAGATGCTTTTGGTCTCGCGACGTCGACCAGGCAACTGAGAACCGGGAATATTTTGTTCAATTATTCAACGTGACGTTTTCTAACAGGT